ACAAAACATTTTTTAAGCAAAATATAATTCAAACACAGAGGTTTCCCTCACTTATTATCGTCATTAAAATGATCATATTGTTATTTGTTAAAAGAGTAGCTAACAGCGAGATATTAAAAAGAAATGTTTGGTAAACAAATGCATGTTTTTTTTTTTTATTTAACTTTTTTTTTTTTTTTTAAGTTTTACTAATTGTTTAATAATTAAAAAATAATACAATTAATAGAATATAATCGGAATTAAAGTCAATGTGCAACAATAGACCAGAACACAGAGCTAAATGTGTTATAAAAGAGATTGTCGTGTATTAAATACTGAACTTATAATCAGTAAATATGAGGAGGTTTCGATTTCAAAATGCGGTATAAATTCGCCCCATTTTTTAATTCTTCTGAACACATTCAGGTGCTGCTCATCACTTTGACAAGGCTTCTATGTTTCTTGCTGTCAATTGCGAAAGAAATGATCCATAAAAGGTTTCTGATAAATTGGTGTGACAGCTGCAGGCTTTGTGTGATGCGCATGCACACGAGGGGGAGTCAGATTTGTCCGGGGAGTCAGATTTCGAAACAACAGCGCCACTGCATGTTCCAATAGTATCTGGATGCAGCCTTGATGATGCAAGCTGAGATTGCATCACTCAGCGATGCAATGTCAGACTCAATGCACTCAATGGAGCAAGTGACGTCACTGTGATGGGTAGGGTTAGGGCTGGGGTGAGGTGAGCGCATTAAAAAGCATTAGATGCAGCTAAGATTGCACTGCACCGAGTCTGCAGCCAGACCCCTCTCGCATGTTCCTCCATGTCGCGTGTAGTGATGGGTCGTTCTTGAACGATTCAGTAAATGCATCGCATTGTGGAATCATATCGATTTATCCTCAGAACTGGATATACAGCCCAGCCCTACCCCAGACCACCTCTTTCCGGCCGACTCGGGTATGGTTTACAAGTGCGCACTCGAGTTCAGAAGACACGTTCACACTAGCTAAACGTACCGTACTCTGACTTTAAACGAACCCAGGTGCGGACCAAAAGTGCTAGTGTGAAAGCACCCTAAATCTTCTCAAATGTCCGGGAGTCGACTTTTGCTTTCGATTCCCATCGCAAGTGTATTTCAAACCTGTAGGAGGCACTGAACCGAATAGAAAAGTTCCCTGCGACCACATAGTTTTACCTTGATTTTGCATTTGGTCTGTTTTGTGGAATCGAGCTTTACTGAACTCTTACCCAATAACAGTGAAATAACAATGTTAAATAAGTAAAATACACAAATTTAGGACAATTCAGGTAATAATAAATTTGTATGTTTTATTTTAACTAAGTTGATAAACTGCAAAAATTAAAAACGGCTAAAATGACCGCCTCAATATTTCTAGTGTTAAGTAAATTTTTACGTTTTTCTTGTACTGTTTATCATATCTATCACAATTAAAACAAACAAACAAAACTAACAAATTTGAATTAAATAGCAAAACATAAAGGACTCCTTCATGATATTCTCATTTTAGAGATGTGCATGTGTACACCGTAAAAAAACAACCCTTCCTGTAGTCTGTGCCAACTCCCAGAAGCACAATCCCATTCTCTCCATTCGCATCTCGTCTTTCACTCATCCTCTCTAATGGCATTAAATAGACAATCTGATGGCTCATGTTGGCATGACGTTGTGTGCGTATATATGTGTGTGTGTGTGTGTGTGTGTGTGTTATGACGTTAGCCCAGATCACCGAGGTCGGGTTTGCCACCCAAACAATGAGCAGATTAGATAAACCCCGCTCTCCCCATGGGACAAAGCGTCTCTGGCTGTGCTTTGGCCCAGAGAGAGAGTGTTTTTTCTGTGCTTCTCCGGGGATAAATCCTCTTTGAAAGCACAGTGATATAATGATCCACTAACAGTACAACAGGCCCTCAAAAGACAAGACGCTGGAATGAGGGATAATCTGCCAATGCTCCACTCATGGACGCCGCGTGCTGTGCAGTCGATACGCTTTGGCATCTCGGTTGATGATTTAAGTATCTGAATCCTGGAATTAGCTTGGTAATGAACTATACAGCTGAGGTCAGAGGACTGCAGTCATGGCACGGGTTCAGGAACGTGTGTGTTTGTTTTGACACAGTGTGAAGTGTTTATGTGTGAAGGGGCTGGGAAACAGCTTTCAAATAGCATACAAAAAAGTTTCAGGGACTTTATGTAAGTTTAACCAAAATCGAAGGCTGTATTCATCATCGTTATTATTAGCATTAGTTTTATTATTCTTATCTTAAATTATTATAATTATGGATAATAAAAATGTATATTTATTAAGAAATGATACCCTTAATTTGCCTAACATTGATAATAATAACAATATTAATAAAACACACACACACACACACACACACACACACACACACACACACACACACACACACACACACACACACACACACACATATATATATATATATATATTAGTATAAGCAATTAATTAAATGATTAAAATTATTATTATTAATATTATATGTTGTATACTTGTTTGTAACAATGGTTTTGGTATAATAATATTAATAATAATAATAATAATAATAATAATAATAATTATTATTATTATTATTATTATTATTATTATTAATAATAATTAATAGTTATTGTTATTGTTGGTATTACTATTATTATTATTATTATTACTATTATTATTATTATTATTATTATTATTATTATGTGTTGTTGTTTTTGTTGTTGTTATTATTATATAAAATATTATAGTCATGGGTAAGAATAATTTATATATTTATTGAGAAATTATACCTGTAACTTGCGTAACATTGATAAGAATAATAATAAAAAATATGTGATTATAATTAACCTTTCAGTCTACAGTAAGTAATTAATTAGATGTATTTAAACTTAACATATAACCATTACAATTATTATTAAATGTTGTATTAGTTTTTGTGACATTGGTCTAGGTAGAATAATAATATTAATAATAATAATAATAATAATAAAAGTTTTGTTGTTGGTGGTGTTTTTGTAATAATAATAATAATAATAATAATAATAATTATTATTATTATTATTATTATAATAATAATTATTATTATTATTATTATTATTATTATTATTATTATTATTATTATTATTAATATTATTGTTGTTGTTGTTGTTGTTGTTGTAATTTTTATTATTATTATTATTATCATTATTATTATTAATTTGCAGAATTTTAATAATAATAACAATAAAAATCTAATATATAAGTGATTAAGTACTGTATACACAGTAATTAAATGTAAATAAACTTAACATATAATAATAATAATAATAATAATAATAATAATTATTATTATTATTATTATTATATGTTGTATTGTTGTTTGTGACCTTGCTCTTGGTATAATAATAATAATAATAATAATAATAATAATAATAATAATAATAATAATAATAATAATAATAATAATAGTAAGTTATTCGTAGTATTGTCATTAGTAGTAATATTATTATTAGTATTGTTATGGTTATTATTATTATTATTATTATTATTATTATTATTTGTATTAATATTATTACGGAATGTGAATGTTAATTACTAATTACCTTAGTGTCCTAACAATTCCAAAATATATTTTTTTAACATTAAATTACTCCTATTTTCCATATAGCACCCATGGAAAAATGGATGTAATCCTAGTCCAGCAAATGTAGATGTTCCCAGCCTAAACGTGCACATGCTCAGTGTTTATGTATAGCTCAGGTAGAGTTTCTCTGACGTGAGCTCAATATTGATGTCATTCCTGAATGATTGATGAGCAATGAGCTCATAATGTGTTCCGCGATGATGACACAGATTACTATGCATTACAGATGTTGTAAGATCAAAAATAACATGCAAACAAAGCAGTCGGAGAATGAATTAGAGGTGGATATTTTTTTCAGATGGTCAATTTAAATATTTAAGCTTATAATCAACTGAATTTTTCATTAATTCATTAAATTAGTAGAATGTTAAATCAAATCAAAATATTTGTTGGGAATATTTCTGAATTTATAACTATTTTCACAAAAAGTGTATGCGCAGGTACGGTATATGCTGTGTGTTTTAGTAGAAAATAAACAAAAATTAAAATTAAATAAATTTTTTTTAAATGTAATTATATTTATTATTTAGAAATATAAATAGTTATTATATATAAAAAAGTATATATATATATATATATATATGAAAAGGTTATATATTAAAATATACTACTAATACTATTATTATTATTATTATTATCATCATAATTATTATTATTATTATTATTATTATTATAAATATTTATTTTTATCATTTAAATATTATTTTTAGCATTATCATATTAAGCTGCTTTGACACACTTTGCATTGTAAAAGGGCTACAAAAATAAAGGTGAATTATTATTATTATTATTAGTAGTAGTAGTACTGCTTGTTGTTACTACTACTACTTCTAATAATAATAATAATTCACCTTTATTTTTATAGCACTTTTAGCACTTTTTTGATGCAATGTGTGTCAAAGCAGCTTAACATAGAAGTAAAAAACTGATAATACTACTAATAATAATACTTATAATAATAATAATAATATTATTAATAATAATAAAAAAATCATAATAATAGTTTATCCATACTTATCCACACTCATACACTACGAGCAATTAAGCCTACCCATATCACCTGTACCGCATGTCTTTGGACTGTGGGGGAAACCGGAGCACCCGGAGGAAACCCACACGTGCGCGGGGAGAGCATGCAAACTCCACACAGAAATGCCAACTGACCCAAGAGAGGCTTGAATCAGCGACCTTCTTGCTGTGAGGCAACAGCACTACCTACTGCGCCACTGCGTCACTGTTATTATTATTAATATTATTATTATTATTATTATTATTACATATAACAACAACAATAATAAAGATGATTATGATGAAAAAAAACTATATATTATTATTATTGGAAATAAGCAAATCTTTACATAATAAACCCTGCGCTTACCTTCTCCTGGTACTGTCGTCGGGACGAGTCCAGAGACTGGATGAGGGCTGTGGCGTGACCCACGAACATGGCATAGCAGGTGGCGCCAACGATCATACTGAGCATGGTGATCCAGAGGTCGGACATGCTAACAGGCGCTCGGGCTCCATACCCGATACACAACATGTGGCTCATGGCCTTGAACAGGGCGTATGAGTACTGCTTCCCCCACGAGTCGTTCTAAGAGAGAAGATAAGAAAAGATCAGCCATTGAAAATACATAGGAAATAATTTGGAAAATGACACATAATATACATTTCTTGAAAGAAGACTGGAAGCTTCACATTCATGCATGACAGAACTGTCTGTCTTCATACATTTACAGTACTGTGCAAAAGTCTTAGACCCCCAGTTGCATTTGCTGTTTTACTGAGGGTAATGACATGATATATTACTTTGCTTTTTCTTTATTAAAATACAACCAGAAAATACAGCTTCTAGTTGAATTTTTGAGGGTCTATTTGTTTGACATATGAAAGAACGAGTTAGAGAAAATGGAAGAATATATGAAAAATACTGAGTTTCTGTCTTGGTTTGATCTACATTTCTGCCAGAGCTGTTGTCAATGTTGCCGGAATTTTTTGTGAATCCTGAAAAGTTCAGACAGATTTTAATTCGTCATGTAATTCCTACTAGCACCTAAATTGTAATAGTGTAATAGCTGATGAAACAAACAAAGTCATAAAATGGCCTGCACAGAGTCCAGACCTGAATATTATATACAGTACAGTATGTGATGTAATAGGCAATGTGAGATTCAGCTGGAGAGAAAAGGAAAGAAAGAACATGCTAAATCTAAACAAGAACTCTTAGAAAAGCTGAAAGATGCTTGATATTAAATAGCACATCATTTCAGAAGACTCAACAAAAAAGTTCAAGCTGTTGCTTGGTGCTAAAGAGGTCACGTTAAACACAGACTTTTGATGCTAGTCTTTTGATTCCAAAAGTAAGTTTGTTCTGAATATTGTGTACATATCTCCACCTAGTTTCGGTTTGTATATTAAAGGTATCGTTCACCCAAAAGTAATGACCCTGCCCTTGCTCCATACCTTTTAAATAGATTTGTGCAAAAGTCTTAGAGCCTACTCAAACTATGCCATCCGTACCGTGCCCAGGCCCGTTTCCTGGATTGTTTGAGAAGTGCGAGTGCGCTGAATCGGGCTCAAGCACGGTTCACTTGGCCGGCCCTGGCCCGTTTGGAAGAGGTGGGCCTGAGCGCGGTTCACTTGGGCTTTTCAGCCCGAAACTGAAAGCGAGACGTGACTTTTAAGGGACTGTTTCATATGGATTTATTAATCATTCTTACTGTTCAGTGAATGCAAACTGCCGTAGTTTATTAAACTCGCAAACCACTCCCTGCACGACAGCTGCACGCCTTCAGCAGACCTCCTAATATCTGCAGCACGAGGGCTTTATGATTGTTTATGAGCCCCAAAAGTGGCGGATCTGTTCGGCGAAATATCTGACTGCGTGTCACCGCAACCCTAAGGACTATTTGGTGAAATATTTGACTGCATGTCACTGCATATCAAACCGACTGAAACGATATAACTAGAGAAATCTCCACTGTGCTGCTGAGTGACAGCAATTCTCACTGAACAGCGCAGCATCGATGACGTACGTGTGCCCAGGCCTGATTGTGGTGTGATTGTCTGTCTTAGGTTATGTATATACTGTATGAAGTATTTTTAGTATATTTATAGTTAGTAGTTAGTATAGCTCTAGTAGTCCTACAAGAACACAACATTTTGTTCCTCTGCAAATAAAGCTCAACTTCCCTCGATTTGACTAGAAATTAGTTTTTATTTCAATAATTTTTGTAGATTTGCTTTAAGTTTTGGATTCATTTTAGTTTGTTTCATTTTAGGGTTTCGCTTCGTTTTTATTTTGTGAACATGTGTCTATTGTGTTGTATTCATAGTTTCATGTTTTGCACAGCTTATAATAACTCCTGTTCAATCATATTTAATAAAACAATATTTGTTTGAACAGACACTGAACCCAAACCCATATAATGCAAGATTGAAGACGTTTTGCTTATATTCCATTTAAAAAATGTCCACATATTTTACCACAAAAGTGCTTATTAATTCAGAAAATAATTATAAATTTTGCTAAATATTGTCTTACTTTAGCTATTTCTTTAGGAAGTTCTGTTTCTATTCAGTTATAGTTTTACATGTATTGTAATTTAATAAATAAAAAATAAATAAATAAAACATTTTATTAAAATTCACTAAAGGTATTTTTGACAAATTGTTTTGCCCACTAAAAAAAGCATTGCTGTACTTACACTTTCTCTCTTTTTTTTTTTTTTTTTTTTTTTAATAATCTATCCACACTTAAACACTATGCTTTAAAAACCTTTTCAGCTTGTTCAAACTGCTTATTTAAAAAAAAATAAGTTGAAAACACAATTCTTAAGGTTTTTGGGGGGACAACTTATTTTTTTACATTCAATCCAAGTAAATTCTTTAAAAAAAAAACAATAAGGTTAACTTAATTTATTTGACAATATGAACGAATTTAAAGTGCATTCTCACATACAAATACATACACATACACAAAACAGTACATATGGACAGAAAATTCCCCTACTTTGCACTCTTTTGTCTCAATTGCAGTGAATTGTAAAAACAAGTGATGGTCTGGAGTCTGCTAATCAACTGTGATTTCTTTCATTATCTGCTGTCGGTTGATGTACGGCTTTGTGGATCCTCTCGCAGGACACTTTCTGTCCTCTCGCAGGCTATTAGCGTAGCTCTGTTTAATGGAGAACTGAGCGAATGGAAAGAGACAAACTGTACTGCAGATGTACTGCAGCCTGTCTGAGCCGCTTCACAATCAATACATCAGCTCATCTAAACTACATGCTGAAGCAGACCCTATACAAGCTGTTTTAATATAATATAATGTAATATAATATAATATAATATAATATAAAATAATATAATATAATATAATATAATATAATATAATATAATATAATATAATATAATATAATATAATATAATATAATATTAGAATGGGTATTAATAAAAGGAAAAAAACACAATATATTATGTAATAGAACATTTGTATTTGCATTTATTTGCAATATTCCTTTTGTTATTTGCTATTATATATATATATATATATATATATATATATATATATATATATATATATATATATATATATATATATATATATATATTATAGTATATTACAATGAATATTACAATGGATATTAATGAAACAAAAAACAGATACATATATAAAACTTAATTAAATATTTTATTTTATAAGTGTAAAAAATAACACAATATAATATAATATAATATACAATTTTATTTTAATTTAATTGCATTTATTAGCAATTTTTATTTGCATTATTATTTTTTAATTTGCTCGACTGTTAATTAACATTCACTCATTCATTCATTTTCTTGTCGGCTTAGTCCCTTTATTAATCTGGGGTCGCCACAGCGGAATGAACCGCCAACTTATCCAGCAAGTTTTTACGGAGCGGATGCCCTTCCAGCCGCAACCCATCTCTGGGAAACATCCACACACATTCACACACACTCATACACTACGGACAATTTAGCCTATACCCAATTCACCTGTACCACATGTCTTTGGACTGTGGAGAAAACCTAAGCACCCGGAGGAAACCCACGCGAACGCAGGGAGAACATGCAAACTCCACACAGAAACGCCAACTGAGTCAAGGCTCGAACCAGCGACCTTCTTGCTGTGAGCAATGTAAATTAACATTTTCCTAAAATTATATTAAATATATTTTAATATAGAAAACTGAATAGACTGTACTTTGAAATATATGAATAAATTACTAAATACATTAATAAAATTATATAATATAATAATGGATATTATACTATATTAGAATGGATATTAATAAAAGGGTAAAAAAAAAACTTGATAAAATATTTTATTTGAAATAAAAGTGTAAAAAACACAATATAATATAACAAGTATACAATTTTGATTGCATTTATTTGCAATTTAAATTTGCAATATACTTTTTTTATTTGCATGACTGTAAATTAACAATTTCCTAAAATTATATTAAATACTTATATTGTATTATATAGAAAACTGAGTAGACTGTATACTTTGAAATAAATTAATAAATGACTGAATAAATGATAATAAAATATTATATTATATTACATTATATTACATTATATTATATTATATTATATTATATTATATTATATTATATTATATTATATTATATTAAAATGGGTATTCATAAAAGCAAAAAACATAAATACATCAAATAAAATTCGATTAAACATTTTATTTTAAATAAAAGTGTATAAAAACACAATATAATATAATATAATATAATATAATATAATATAATATAATATAATATAATATAATATAATATAATATAATATAATATAATATAATATAATACAATATAACATAACATAACATAACATTTTATTTGCATTTATTTGCAATATTTTTTTTCTTTGCATGGCTGTAAATTAACATTTTCCTAAAATTAAATATTTATATTTTAATATAGAAAACGGAGTAGAATGTGTTATTTGAAATAGAATAAATGTCAAAAAGAATAATATAATATAATATAATATAATATAATATAATATAATATAATATAATATAATATAATATAATATAATATAATATAATATAATATAATATATTTAGTATATATTATTCATCATTCAAACATGAATTCTAAGTATAGTAAAATCTTTTTTACAGTCATTTAAAACAATCCCTTTTTAATCCATTGCTTTTATATATAAAAAAAAAACCTTTGTTGAATCAGCAGTGGATATTTTAGGTATGCTGTACAACACTTAACAATGCTCTGTTCATGTCAGATAAATTTGCTTCCCAGACTTATTTTATATCCGGAAGCTATTCTGAGTTTGCTCTGTCACTCCTCAATGTCAGCATTACTCGCAGACATTAGTTAGAGAAAACTGACTAAAACAATCCCCATATTATTTCCCGATGGCCTCAGCTACGCACTGGAGGCATGTGACAGTTCGGTGTTCATGGATGGAGTCTGGAATGGAATTGCTGACTTCTCAAATCTCTTCTTGCTCTTTTTTGAAGAGGAAAAACTGCTGAGGAAGCCGACAAAAGCTCGTTGAAATCGCTATTAAACCTGTGCACCGCGGCCTGCCAAC